TTTTCCCCCCCAATTGCTCTATTCGAATCTACCTACCTCAACCTACCTACCCACCTACCTCCAACCCCCTTTGCTCTTTCAGGATCAAAGACACGGCAGAGCTTCTATCGGCTTCCGGTCCGGCACCTACCCTACCCTCTCAGCAACCCTGTTCGCATCCCGGTCGCCCAGCAGGTTGCTAGAATGGCTACGCAAAGCTTCGCGTCGTCGACGCGCTTGAGAGCCGCGTTGTAACCGCCCAGGACGGCGCCTTTCAATAGCCAGCTCATCAATGTGGCAGCCCCTTCGCAGCCATTGTTGCCATTGTTGCCAGCCATTGCCGATCATATTGAAGTAGCGCAGAGCCTGGCGTTTGATGCTCGCATCTTGGTACGCTGAGCTCTTCGCCATCTCCTGCCCACACGAGGGTGCTAGATCAATCAGTCTAACTTGCTTTCCATCTGGCATCTCAAAAACGAGAGTTCCATTCTTTTCGAAATCGCGATTAGCGATGAGTGATTTCAAAGCATGGCCGGCTATCTCATGCTCAGGGTTCTTTCTGAGGAAGCTGAGCACTAAAAGGTAGTCAAGGCGTTGCAGCTTTCGTTTGTGATTCCTTAAGCACCGGCATTTTAGGCAATAACGAGCCCTGCAAAGCGGCACCGTTAAAGTTGTGTTCGACTCTGCCATCATTGATTTATCCTGATGTTGTATAAAGAGAAAAACGGTGAGCCCTCATTCTGTTGCGTCAGGAAGACCACAATGTCATCGGTGAGCTGGTCAAATCATGGAATTACCTAAGACGTGCAGCCGTAGTTTCTATTCTAGAGTAACATGGTAAAACACAATAGAGCAGCACGATATTCCATCAACATGTCCAGTAAACCTTTGCAAAATGGCACACGCAAATGCGGCGGGCTGTCTATGGAACGTGATATTCGCTGAATATGTATAACGATATGAATAGCGGCCTTTTATGAGAGATCAATAGACAACTCGAACCATTTGCTGTAGCTAAGAAGCTTGCCGCTCCCGAATCCCCCTACGAAGCCAGCCGTTTGCTGCATCAATGTTCTCGACGAACCTTGCAAGCTTTGACCTCTCAAAGTTGATGTCGAGAATGGTCGTCACTCTACTCTTGAAGTCATCT